CGGTTCGTGGATGTCACGCCCTCACTCTTTCACTATTTCCAGATCTCTCGTCCAGCTGTCTTTGCTGGTTCATACGCGTTTGGCTGTTAAGTTCTCAAAATACTTATTGAGCGTTCAGTGTGTACCAGGCAGTGTTCTGAGTGTTTTACGGGCATTATCTCGTTGGCATCCCTGCCAGCTCCCGCACCAGCATACGCAGGAGGCCCTGCCACCGCTCTCCTGTTACAGATGGGAGGCGGAGGGGGCAGGCCGGAGGGCAGGTGCCGGTCCGTGCCAGACCGCTCTGGGGGCTGCCTTCTGACCACAGGGCCCGCACCCATCCTACCTGCCCCAGATGCCTCACTTGATCCTGGGATGGTCCTCGGGCCTTTCTTCAGTCTTTCCTGTCGGACAGAAATGCCTCATGGGCACTCTCCCCTGACACCCTGCAGAGGCCCACGCGCACAGTAGGCATGTCTACACGGCCCTGGGGGAGGGGGGTTCAAGCCCAGAAGCCACTCCCCTGCCGACCATCACGTTGACCTCTGTTGTCTTCTCTTCCAGGACCACTACCCCTCGCTCCACTGCTAGTGGGTTAGCGCTGGCCCTTCCCCGTCCCCCTGCCACACCCTGCCCTGCTCTGGTCCCTCACGGCCCCTCAGCAGGGGCAGCAGGACCGCCTCTGTGGCCCTTACCATGTTTCCTCGCCGTCCCCCTCTGGACCCTCTCGCTGTGCCTCCCTCACCGTCACGCTCTCTTTTGATCTCGCAAACCCAGGCCCTTGGAGAAATCAGACAGTATGAAATATGAAAACTGCCTGGGAAGTAATTGAGGGAACGCCGTGACTTCTGAAACCCGTAGAGATAACACTCACACCTTCTTACTCACGTTATTTAATTTTTAATGGCAGATTTAATTAATGGAGATCAGGTCTTCCGGTTTCAGATGTGCATTCTCAGCAGCTGGAGGAGGGGGGGAGGGGCAGCTGTTTATCGGGCTGGGCAAGAGATTCCAGAATCGGGAATCTAACTCGGAGGAGAAGTCATCCGGAAGTAGTGGCTCACGATCTCCAGGTGCTCACTGACTGTGGGGAGTCAGTGCAGCACACTTGGGGCCTCTCCCCACGGCCTAGGGACGGGCGACAGCACTCCTCAGGGCACAGCGCTGCCGCCAGACCCCCTGCCGGTACCGCACTCCCCCGTCCACACAGCCGCCAGTGTTCTCTCCGAAACACACACCTCCCCTGGCTCTCCCGCACGTGAAAGTAGAGCCCGTGGGCTGAGGTCCAGGCTCCCAGGCTGCAGTGGAGACGCCTCCCCGCCCCCGATGCCCAGGTCCCGGGCTGTCTTGTCTCCCCCGGGTCCAAGTAGAGCATCCACCCTGTGGTATCCCTCCCTCTCCCTTGTTTACACGACCCGCCCGCATCATTGACCCATTTCTGCTCATTGTATAAGACTCACTTCGGTCAAAATGGATGTACCCTCAGGCCCAAGAGTTTGACTTGTAGAACGCGCTCCTCAGATGTACTCCTCTCGCGCAGAGGTAAAGGCGCCATGATAGTGGGACCCGCCGTGGGGTGGCGTTGGGCGGGTGGAAGGAGGAGCGGGCAGTGGGCGCGCACGGGCAGACCACGCTTGGACGCTCCGTGCGAGGGGGAGTGCCGGGGCCGCGCTGGCCAAGCGGCTTGCTGGTCGCTGCCCTCCTCCCCCCTGCCCTTTGTGCTTTTTTTTTTTTTCAAATATTTTTATTTATTTCTAGGATAGAGAGAGACAGCGTGAACAGGGGAGGGTCAGAGAGAGAGGGAGATACAGACTCTGAAACAGGCTCCAGGCTCTGAGCTGGCAGTCAGCACAGAGCCCGACGCGGGGCTCGAACCCACGAACCGTGAGATCATGACCTAAGCGAAAGTCGGACGCTTAACCGACTAAGCCACCCAGGCGCCCCAACCCTTTGTGATTTTTGCCTTTTTCAAAAACACTATTTGATATAAAAAGAGTTTTCTAGGCCTCGATTCAGGTGCCAGCTCCCAAAAGTCAGGCAGATGGTGTCCACCAGGTGCCCGTTCCGGTGCCCCCACGGCACCGGGGACGGTTGGCGAGCAGCCTGCTGTGATCCGGTCACGGCGCTGTCAGGAACCCGGGAGGCCGTGAGAGGGCGAGCTTGCCTTGGAAACCTATGGCACCTGGCGGGTGTGTGGTGTGCGCTTGGGTGGCCCCCAAGCGAAGCCGCCCCTCAACAGGGGAAGGGTCCAGGCGTCCACAGGGTGCACTGCAGCAGCCTTGGGGGGCCTGGTGGATGCCGGGCGCAGGCGCAGCCTTCCAAAGGCATCATGTGGGCAGCACAGGGGACGCGCGGTGGCACGTGGTCCCAGAGCTTGCTCAGGCAGGTGACGGGGCAGAGGTGGCGGGGAGGGCGGTGCCCCAGGGGGGGTTCCTCTGAGTCATGCTGGGAGACAATAGAGGAAGCTGCAGCGGGGTGGTCACGACCGCTTCTGGTATGCGGGCACTTCCTGTGACAAATCTCGCCGACCACACGTTCAGCCTGCGCTTGCAGACGCCGTGGCTGCTTGCTGAGCTCGCCCTGGCCGGCGGTGTGCAGGGAGATGCGGAGCCGGCACAGCGGTGCCAGGCTCCTGCCAGCCTGTCTGGGCCACGGGGACTCCCTTGGAAAGGCCGCTGGCAGGCCCTGGTCCTAGACGACAGCAGCCTGACACGTGACCCAGGAGGAGAGGCCTGAGCCCGGAGGCTTTCTCGGGGCAGAGAACCAGCCCAAGCGGGTGGAGAGCTCTGTGAGGCCCGTGCTGGCCTCAGAAAGTTCAGTGGTGCTGTGACAGTGGCCGCAGTGCACAGGGTGGGCACTGTGAGCCCGGCACCGCCCCGCATGGTCCCGGCCCCCCTGTGATGGAGGGGGAGCCCCATCTTACCACCAGGAAGTGACTCACCCACAGAGCACAGCATGTGCCGAAGCGAAAATTAAAATGTGGGTGTACGGCCCCGTGGTCTTCCCTGAGGGCCCAGGAACGGAAGGTCCACGTTGAAAGTAGATGCCCCCTGTCGAGGGCGGCACAGAGGAGCATCTGCGTGGAGTGGGATGCAGGGCCTGAGAGGACTTGTGTTCGCGTCTCCCCCCCCACACACACACCCAGCACCATCCACGGTGGCCGCATGTCAGACCAGTTGAGGCAGAGTTGTAATCTCTGGAACCTCAGGGCTCCGGGGAGAAAACATGGGGCAGCTCGGGATCAGTGCAGACCCGCGAGCGGGGAGGCGGGGCCGGGGAGCCCCCACACGTGCCCAGCCCACTGTGTGCCTGAGCGGTCACATTCCCCGTCTGCCGTGCCTTGGGGCCACCGGGGAGGGGCACGGGCACCTCCTTAGTTCAGAGCCGAGCACCTGTCCAGGCTCACTTAGCAGCCCAGCAGTGGGCTCACCCCAGCGCAGCCCCAGGCAGAATTCCGGTACCTGGGTTCCTCCCCCCCGGCCACCCCCCCGACGTGGGCCCCTGGCGCACACCCGGCTGTGGTCCCTGCACCTTGGCTTTTCCCAGGGACAGGTACCAGGATGGGGGTGAGGGCCAGGTTCCCACCCAAACTCCGCCTTCAGTGCCCTGGAGGCTCCTAGGAGCGTTGCTTTCCAGCCCTGCCAGGGTTACCTTCTCTGCAGACGGATGACGGGGTGCCTCGGGGGTAGGGTGCGTCCCCCGCACGGCTCTGATCTGAGCACCTGTCGTCTTTTCCATTCTGTCCAAGGAGCGACTGGTTCTCTGGGGCCAGGCTATCTCTGTGCATGGTGGAGTGGGGGAGAGCCAGGCTCTGCGTCGGACGGTCCCGAGCAGGGTCATGGCTCTGTGACTTCAGGGTCCCTTTACCTGCCTCTCGAGCTTCTGGTAAGGATTAGCCCATGCCTGTGGGAGGCACCTGAAGCCCGAAGCTTCCATTCACCCATCTGTGGAGTGGGGATAACCAGCCCTTGCACCCAGGTCCTGTGGAAGCTCTGGCCCAGGCCTGCAGATGGGAGGCAGGCCTCACACGGCGTCCGTGCTGCCTCCTCACCCTCACTGCGGACGTGTGACCGCCAGCCTGTCGTGGGCGGCCTCCGGGGGTGTCCCCCTCCAGACTGCCTGCGGCTAAGAGTCCGTTCACTATGAGCCTCAAGGCGCTTCGGCTCGAGCGTGGCGGCTGGTGGCGGCTAGTGGGGCCAGTGTGTTTGCGGCAGCCTCTTCTGGAAGCAAGTGGTGCATGCTGGGATCTGAGCCGCTGAGACATAGAGACGTGGGAATAACTGACCCGGAGTCGTGCTGTGACGGCCCCTGGTCTTCCTCTCAGCGGGGTCATGCTGCCAGCCGGACTGACCTCTGCACCAGCCTGCTTCTGCATGGCACACTTCCGGGGCAACCTCGAAGGATGGAGGGGTAACCAGCAGGCCAGGGAGCGTGGCGGCCACGGCAGGCAGCGGAGCCCTTGCCCCGCTGGTGGTCAGATGCTGGGGCCCCATCCCGGGCACACCTGCTTGCTGTGCAGCTGCGGGCAAGTAGCTTCACCTCCAGGCAGCAGAGGCCACCTATGAAACGGGGCTTGGACCTGAACAAATCTCAGTAGACCTTTTCTTTAGTGAATATTTTAGGCTCTGCAGCCCATGCAGTCACTATTTCAGCTACTCGGCTCTGCTGCTGCACCGCGAAGGCAGCCATGGAGGATGTGTACCCAGATCAGGAGTGTGGCTGTGTCCCGATAGAGCTCTATTTGCCGAATCAGGTGGCAGGCCAGGTGTGCTCACGGGCGATGGCTTGCCGACCCCCAAGCCGGGGGATCCACCGGCCCTTCCAGGCTTTGCTGCTCTGGGATTCTGTGGCCGTGGTTGGCCTGCCGTGGCGGGGGCCGGACCTAAGCCGAGGATCAGTCACGAACCTGCAGAGATGCTGGCCCCTAAATTAGCATCTGTCGATGTTCAGCGCGGCATCTCCCGTGGGAGCCAGAGGGAGGTTTCAGTCTTTGGTAATCAGTTCTGTTCTTCTCCTTGCAGAATGCGGAGATGTATCAGCTGTCTTCACAGCAGTTCCACGAGGCAGCTTCAAAAATGGAGGGCGCCATAAAGTAAGACCCTGTTTATTACTTTCCGTGAACTCAGCCTCACCAACACGGGGCTTGGAACCGGCTGCCGCCTGCTTGGTTCTAAATCTCCGTAACACGGACAGCTGTGTGCTCCGCGCTCCCTGCTCACCTGGCTGTGAGGCAGCCACTGGTCATCCGCATTGGCCAGCTGACCCCTGACTCCTCCCCGGCTCCCTGGCAGCGGGAATGGGGCTGAGGCCAGCTGGCAGACTTGTCTCAGACGCCGAGGACTGCGGGCCGTGCCACAGGCTGGCCGTCAGGCTCCCGAGGGGGTCGGGGAGGGGGTGTTGCTGTGCGGCCCCCACTTGTGGAGGTGGTTTTCAGAGCAGCCTGTTCGCTGAGGGCGCCTGCGGGCACCTGGTCCCCAGCCGTGCACCTCTGGCATGCTGACGTGCTCAGGGGGCTCCCTTTTCATTCCCGGGAGGACTCGGGGACACTGCTGGCTGGCTCGGGTCACACAGCGCCGAGCCCCAGCATCCTTCCCCTGTCTGTCATGCTCCTGCGCCGTGAGGGAGGCGTCGGGGCCAGAACGTTAGGGATGGAGGCACGTGCAGTGTGTCCATTACAGGTGCCTCTGCTTCAGGGTGAGGTCATGGGAGGGTTGCTGTGGAAGGGAGAGCCCAGACTCGAGCCGTGGGTCCATTGTGCAAAGGTGATTTCTGGGGACCAGGCCGACTCCCTCCTCCTCCCTCGAGGAAGGGCCTTTCCCTCCCAGGCTTAAAGCAGCGTGTTCCCCAGGCAAACGGGTCACAGTGCCGCTTGGCGAGGGGTGGGGTGTGGCACCAAAGAGGAACCATCGGGGGAGGTTTGGATGACGAGGAGGTGTCAAAGCGCTTATAAATACAGCTGCTGACACAAAGCATGCTAGGAACCAGGAAGGAGCAGTGGGGACGGATAGACTCAGGACAGATGTAGGGTACAGCATGGGGCCCCCGTAGCTAGGGGGACACAGTGCCGGATCCGCACGGGGCCCCGGAGGCCAGGGGACACAGTGCCGGAGCCGCATGGGGCCCCGGAGGCCAGGGGACGCAGTGCCGGAGCCGCGTGGGGCCCCGGAGGCCAGGGGACGCAGTGCCGAAAGTGACCACAGATAGCTTTTGGAAACAGCATATAGTTATCTTGGGATTTCAAGTCCTAGAGCAGTGATAGGGGACTCGGAGGAAGAACTTTCCAGTAGGCAGGTAGAGACTGGAAAGGTCTTCCACCTGCCCATTGGGATCCCACAGGGGGTTCTGGGTGGAAGCAAGTGCCCTGAGCTGCACAGACCCCTAGGAATGGAATGTTCCAGCTGCCCTCTCAGACTCGCGCCCGGCTGGCTCATCCCAGGGCCAAGAAAGACTCAGAATCGCGGTCAGTGAGAGGGAGACGTTGGGAAGCAGTCACACCCCGGAGCCTGTGGGCTGAAAGCCACCCCAGTAATGTGATCCCGGAAATGGGCAAAGCCGCGGCGCAGTCCCTTGCCCAGGCCCACCCCCTTGGACGCCCTGGGGGCCATGATGCCAGATCCTTAGCCCTCCCTCGTTCCCTCCACCCTGGAGCAGCCCGCCAAGGGAGGACACTCAGGGGAGAAGCCAGACAGCATCGCTGTGAGGGACGCGCCGTTCTGTCGCCCGCCGCAGGGCCCACCGTCCTGAGAGCCGGCCTCCTGGGCCCCGGTGCCCCTGATCGCTGCCCGACGGGCCGTCCTCTCCTTTCTCAGCCTCATGTCTTCCCTGCGAGTATCGTCTTTGTCCGCGCAACGTGAAAGGGTTTCCAAAGGTGTACAGCATCCCCTGAACATCACTGCTGTTTCCCGCGCAAAGTAAATGAGAGGCGCCCTGCAGGGCCCCCGACCAAATCCTCTCGTTTACCGTTGTCGGAGCTTCGCATCAGCAGAGGTGAGGCTGAAGGGGGGAATAAGCCCCTTCCCTGGCCCTGATTCCGCTCCAGGTTGGGGTCGGTCGTGGCTTCGATTGTCCCTCGAGGGGCCCCCCATGTGAGGGGGGTGTGGGGGCGGAGCTGGAGCCCGCCCTTGCCCTGCCTCTTCCTGGCCGCCCCCATGACCCTGGGCATGATGCTCTCCCATGCAGAATAGAGACGATACCCCGCCCCCAGAGCTTTGCGTGAGGAGGCACACAGGAAATCGCGGTGGCGGCGGGACACCGTTGCTAACAGTGGCCGTCCCCCGAGTCACTCGTAGCACCTAGCTTGGAACCGCGTGGCACAGATTTCACAAATACATCGAGTTACCTAAAAAAAAGTTGTTTTCTTTTCCCAAACAGAGCAAACAGGAAGCAGCATAGAGTTAGAAGTCATTTTACTTAAACATCGGGCTAGAGGGCGGAATCCTCGATGGGGAGATTTCTTGGATTCGCAAATGATTGTAAATTGCATCGTAAATGCCACAGAAATAAATGCCAACTGCTGACAGCAGTGACAGTCCTCTTCCAAGACAGCGAGCATCTTTGAACAACTTGGAGTAAACGGACTGGTTACTTAGGTGGCTAATTAGATGTCTGTGTATTCATTTATTCATTTAACATACATGTATAGAGTGCCTACTGTTTGCCAAGTACCATGCTAGGCACTGGTGATAAAACGATAAACAAGACAGCTTCGGTTTCTGTCAGCAAGGAGCTTAGAGCCTTTGGGGAATGACAGACAATATTTTTAAATTAATTGCACAAAAAGCAATTGCCCAAGCAATGATTTATTCTAGTAATGAGCCATGAAAGAAAATGTTTGAATTAAAAAGCATGTGTCTGAGGACCCTAACACAGACTTCGTACGGTTGGGAAGTCTTTTCAGAGGAAGTGACTTTTAAATGGACTCCTGCACTATGAGAGGGCTTTGGTCAGAGAAAGGAAGGGGAAAAAGAATACTTCAGACAGAAGGCTTGGCATGTGCAAAGGCCCTGGGGTAGAGAGTAATTTAGCATATTCAACGAATTGAAAGGCCAGTGTGAGTAGAGAGGAATGAATGAGAAGAGACAGACTAGAATGAACTCTAAGCAGTCAGGAGAGGCCAGACCACACAGGACTTTGTAACCTGTTAGAGATTTCACTTGTATCCTAAAAGCAATGAAGCACCGGGTCAGCTTTCTTTCTCTGTGAATATGTTCACTTAAGGTATTGACTTCTCTATAGTTACACCCTGAAGTTTTGATATAGTGCATTGTCCTTATTCAGTTCAAAAACTTTCTAAGTTTTATTCTAATTTCTTCTTCAACTCATGGGTTATTTCAAAAGGTATTGCTTAATTTTCAGATATTCGGTAGTCTTCTAGTTACATTTTTCCCCCAAAACACTTTTATTTATTAAGGAATCTCTACCCCCACCTGGGGCTCAAACTGATGACTCCGAAATCAAGCGTCATATGTTGTACCAACTGAGCCAGCCAGGTGCCCCTCTCGTTATTTTCTTAATAATTGATTTTCAGGTTAATTCTATGGGCACAGAACATGCTGTAAATCCTCTAAAATTTTTGGACCTTGCTTTGTGACCATGTACATGATCTATTTTTGGAAGCCTTCTGTGTACATTTGAAAAGAATGTGTGTTCCCCCAATGAGTGTAGTAGTCTGTGTTTGTCAGGTTAAGTTAGGCAGTCGTGTTCAGGTTTTCTGTATCGTTACCGATTTATGGATTTATGGTTTCTTTCTGAGATCCCGTTCCTTCTAAATACAAAACTTCTATAATATTTCTTCTTGTATAGTATGGCTGATTATAAATCCTCTATTTTTGATTGGAAATATATTTCAGTTTAAAGAATATAGCAATCCTTTCTTGTGGCCCGTCAAATTATCTTTACATTCTGATTGGATACCTGTTTTTTCCTGGAGAAGTCAGCTATTGATATGCTCATTACCTCTTTTTTTCCTCAACTTTTAGCTTTCCTTTGTCTTTAGTTTTTTAGCAGCTTGACTATCATGTGCCTAAGGAGTCAGTTTTCTTGCTTTTTTCCTGCTTGGGGTTCATGTGTTGGGGTTTCATGTCCTTTGGTTTTAGAAATTTCTCAGCCATTATCTCTTCAAACAAGACTCTGCCCTGTTTTATCTTTCTTCCTTTCTGGAATGTAAGTTACATGTTTGTTTGTTTTTTCTGTTTTTCATCAATTCTGTAAAATGTTCATGTTGTCACCTGAGTTTTTTTCTGTTGATCTGTCACTTCACTAATTTTTTTAATGTGTCAAGTCTCTTTTACACCTGTTTATTGAATTCTGAATTTCGATTAATGCATTTTTTTCAATTCTAGAAGTTCAAATAGATTTTTTTTTTCCCAGTCTCTGATGAGATTCTGGGTTTTGCCGTCTGTTTTCTTGAACCTATTAGATGTAGTTATTTTGAAGTCATCTGAGGGTCTGTTTCTATTGCCTTTTTTAAAAACCCTCTTGGTCCTATTTGTTTGTGTGTCTGGTAATTCTTGATCGAATGCCAGGCATTGTGCCGGGGCTACAGAGGCTCTGGAGTGTATCGTCACTGGCGGCCACCTGAGGGACCGGGCTGACCCGAGGCTTGCCGCAGTTTTGGTGAAGCTCAGGCTACTTCTGATGTACCTTCTTCCTAGGGCATGGCTTCCCAGGGCTCCGCTTCACCTCCTTTGTTGGTGAGCTCTGAGCCCCTCAAAGTGCTCCCTCAGCTCTGTGAGACTTCTGAAGATTCCACTTTGCCTTTTAGTAGCTTTTACTTGGCTCCTTAGCCTCTTGCCTTTGAGAAGCTCAAGAATGTGACAAATGTCTTAAAAGAGGAAAATCACCATGTTGGTTCACTGTAGGTTAGCTCCCTTCGCTGGTCCCTCGAGGCCTAGCTGCCTTGGCAGCCTTGAACTCCAAGGGAATGTTGTCTGTCTACAGTCCCGTGAGGTTGCCAGAAGCTGGCTTCTCTGCACTTTAGCTGAAGCTGTTTGCTCAACTTTCAGCCTCTCTTCCTGCACCAAGAATTGCCAAGAACTCAGTGGGGACCAGTGGCTCCAGGAACAAGCGCTTGCCTCTCTGCAGTTCCCGCCCCTTCGTGATCTTGGCCCTCACCGCTTTCTTTGTCTTGCTCCTCGGATGCCTTAAACAGATTTATTTTTTTTATTTTGGAGAGTGTGTGCAAGCAGGGGAGAGGGACAGAGGGAGAGATGCGGGGTGGGGGCAGGGGAGAGCGAGCCTCTTAAGCAGGCTCCGTGCTCAGTGTACATAGAGCCTGCCACGGGGCTCGATCTCACACCCCGATATCCTGACCTGAGCCAAAATCAAGTGTCGGATGCTCACCTGACTGAGCCACCCAAGCGCCCCTTAACGGGTTTTATTTAATTTCAGTTTTTAAAATTTCTCCCTCAGAGTGGAGCGTAGCTCTTCCCCAAGCTGCTCCACTATAGACGGGAGCACACATCCTGACTTAACTCTTGAGGGATGATTTGTTTGCCAGCGGCCACGCCAGCTCGAGGAAAGAGTCATAAAGCAAAGTCAACCCAGCAGTGGTTAGAGCATCAGGCACCCAGGGCACGGGTGGCCCTCCCCACCTGCCTCGGGCCCGCCAGACTGCCCTGCGCCCGCTCGGCCTGCCGCATGCCTCCGAAGGTGCCTGTCAGAGCGTCCGTGCAGAGCAGTGTCGCTGGCCAGGCTGGTGCTCACGGTCTGGACGCTCTTGGTCTGGAAGATGCTATCGTTGGGGTAGAAATAAGTACCCGAAGTGTGTTTGCATGCGCACACACACACAGGCACACGCGCACGCCCCTCTACCTCACACCAGCACCTTGGGCAGAGCTGTTTGTATCCTCTGAAGGACGAGGTGAAGACCCCAGGGGACATCTTGCATTTATTGTGTCACATCTACTTTTTATGACAGCCTTCAGTCCCCTTCCCGTGGGATTCCTTCAGAGCCTGTCTCGACGGCTCCCTGTCAGGAAACGGGTACCATCCCCCGCTGGCCCCCTCTCAAAGAGTCAGGACAATTGAGTTGAAGGAAGAAGGTTATTAACTGTTTCCGGAAACTGAGTCATTGGGCTGTAAGGACTTTGATCCCGAGAGGTCTGATTAATGTGGACATGGGGACACGGAGACTTGCTGGGGCCCAGCAAGGGAGGGCTCCCCCTCACCTGGAAGTCAGGGCTTATCAGATAGCCTGTGGGGGAGGGGTTGGGCTCACCTGAGCTGGTATATCCTCAGGTGCTCTACTTAGTGACCTAATGACAGATCGATTACCTATTAAAACAACAGTTACTTATTTGAACCCCAAATGAGATCGCATTCTATCTTAATTCATCTCGATAATGTTCACATCAGGCTGATCTCAAAAGCTGTGTGTCTCTCTCTCACTTCTCTTACCTCGCGTAACTTTTTGAAAGGAGCATTTTCCGTTCAGAACTTTACATGTGGTACGTGGTTTACCCTGGGGCACGTGGCTCTTTGAGAGGCTAAGGAATCAACAGGCAGTTAGTTGTTCATTTAACAGATCAAAGTTCAGTTACTACATTTCTTTAAAAACCTGCACGCAGCTACTCAGCTGCGCACTTACACAGCCCCCAGGGTCTGCTCTTCACAGGTTCTTAGGGCAGATGCCATTCTTGCCCCAAGCTGCAGTTCTGGAAACTGAGTCAGCTTACCTCTCAGGCCCAGTGTGCCGGTCAGTAAAGCAGGGAAATTGATGGTGCCTGTTTGTCAACAAACTGTGAGGCTGCACAGAAGTGCCCAAGGACTCCCAGCCAGTGGTGCCAGAGCGGGATTTGATGCGGGCCCCTATGAGTCTAGCTCTTTTCTACTCTCCAGAGGTACTTCCTTCTCAGGAATTTGCAGGACAAGGGGATTAGCTGCTTGCTGATTCTGCTTGCTGATTAGCTGATTCACTGACTTCCCCCAGGGCTGGTGCTGTAAATTCCTCTGTGTGAGTGAGTGTGTGTGTGTGTGTGTGTGTGTGTGTGTGTGTGTGTGTGTGTGTGTCCCTCCCTCCCCTGGGCTCTTTGCAGGCACTTGCTCCCATTCCAGTGTCGGGCAGAGTTCTGCCTCCTTTGAAGCAAGAGAAAGATGCCTGCGGAGGCAATTCCTCAACAGGGGTGGTGCTGCATACGGCCAATGCCCTGGGCTGGTTCTGGAAGCGTGGGTGGGCCACCTTCAGAGAGCCTCAGTGGAGAGCCTCAGTGGCTTCACCCCGGAGCTTCCTGCCTGCGCCCCATCCTTGCCCCTGGCAGACGTCACCAGAGGATTCCGGCAGCCCCTCCCTGAGCCGAGTTCAAGACTGGCCGCAGGTATCACCTCTTCCGGATTGGCATTCACGGTGAACTTCTTTGCCACCCTGGGATCTGGTGACTTCGGAAGACTGAGTTTCCCAGTGAGAGACTGCTGGCTCCTGATTTCAGAAGGCAGAATCTAGGGAGTTATCCTTATAGACCCTCTTTCCTGTTTAGAGTGCCCCCTCTTTTCTCCTTGCAGATGAGGCTCACTTTTCAAAATATCCCCCATAAGCAACTCTTCTGTTTATGGTGTACTTCCCCCAGAGGTCCGTCCAGAATCGTACTTTTCTCCGCATCCCCAGCACCCGGCCCAGGACTGAATTTGATAGACACTCACCAAGCACGTGTGGGGTGGGAGGAAGAGCTGGTGCCCACAGGATAGACTTGGGGGCTGGGATTTAAATCACATAGTTGGCTGTCTAAGCACCTTCTCTGCGGAGGCTTCTTCGTGTGCCGCAGGGCCCCGTGTTGGGGTGGGGGTGTGGGGGGCCCGCCTAGGGCAGGGCTTGAGGTCACAGGGGTGAGTGCCTTCCCAGCCACGCTGCCCGGTGTGTGGGCTGCATCAGATGACGTCAGTGCTCTGAGACACGTGTCCCTGGCTGCTGGAGGTTGTTTTGAGGGCATCGTGAGACAATTTGTTGAGCACATAATAAGTACTCAATAAACAGTAGGTATTACTGGATAGAAACTCACATTTCAGTGAGAGAGAGACTGGAGTGCAGCAGCCAATGGGGGTGCAGCCCCTCGGCACAGGGGCGACCAGCGGCCGTCTGGGTCTGGAACCGCGAAGGAGGGGAGACGCCGGGGTCCCCAGCTCTCCTTGGGGGTCATGGCCCACGGAGACCCTTGTGCGTGTGCACGAGCAGCCCCGGGCCCGGAGGTGACAGACTGGAAGCAGCCCCGCTGCCGTGACTGGGGCAGTGGACAAGCATGCTCTTCGTGGCCGGAAGAGCAAGCGGTGGTGCAGGATGACCGGGCACCGTGGGTGCTAGCAGGGGTGCTTGTGAGAGCTCGCCGGCTGAAACACGGGTTGTGTCCACTGTGTGTGTGCCCTCGACGCACACACGCTGGCACGCTCTCTCCTCGGCAGGGACGTGCCACCGGGGGAGGGCGGGGGGAGGGTAGAGAAGAAAGTCTGAGAGGATACGCTCCAAACAGGAAGCAGCAGCTACTCCTGGGCAGTTCGAGGGCGTTCGGTGTTATGAAAGGGCCAAAGGGGACTAGTTATATCTGCTATGTTTTTAGTCCTTTAAAAAAAAAAACATATATATATACACACACACACATATATATATGCTTATGTGCAACTTGTGTAATTAAAAACTAATAAGAATATAGAGTGTGAGTATGAGTATGAGTGTGTATGTGCGCGTGCGTATATGTGTATGTTGTCTTCTGATCAGGGCTGGGCCTCTAACTTGCCTGGTACCCTTTCCTTGAACTTCCCCTCCATCAAAGACTGAGGCTGTTGGAGTAGATGTGTGGTTTCAAGTGTCCTTAGCTGTGGCTCCTGTTAAGAAATCTCATGTGACCTGTGACAGATGAGGTGGAGATGAGCTACCATCCTGGGTGAAGCCAGAATGGATGTGCCGGGACCCTGGGGTCAGCACCCCCGCTCCTGGGAAGCCAGGGGTCCAGGGGAAAGCGGGCTCGTTCCCTTCCAGGCGTCCATCGCTCTGTTCGTGAGGGCTCAGCCGCCCGCCTCGGGTCCTGCCGGCGCTGCTGGCCTGGTTTGGGCTGATGTGCCTTCCCACCCGTTAGCAGGGAGATGACGACAGTGACTCCTGAGGAAGGCAGTGTGGCTTTGCTGGCAGGTGTAGCCAAAGTTTCGATGCGGGACAAAGCTGAAATGGTACCGAGCAAAGGGAACGTAGGGAATCAGCTGTGCGTTCTCCGTGTCACATAAACCCTCGAGCACTGGGCACCGGCGAGGAATCACCTGCTGCAGAGATGCCTGGGGAGGCCCCGGAGGGCGTAGGCCACAGTGCTTGCGGGGCGGAGAAGGCAAAGGGCAGGGAGGGAGAAGCCTGGCCAGAGGGCGCACCTGTATTCCTCTGGGAAGGAGACACTGACTGGTACCAGGTCTAGAGCTTTGAACTACAACTTAAATTTAAGTTAGATCTAGGGAAGGACTTCCTGACTTGCGGTGAGTGATGATTACATAATGATTGAGGGAAGGAAGCTGTACAGCTTTTATCTTCCTCTGGAGACGGTTAAGGAAAAGCAAGTCTTGCTCTCAACCCAGAGCAGCCCCTTCCCTGTCTGTTCACAGACAACAGAAGGGTCACTTCTGTCTCATCGTCCTGTCTCAACCTCTCCTGGCTGGAAGTCAGCCGGCCACCGGGTTTCTCCGCGGGAGTTTCCTCGTGGTTTGCTCTCGACCTCTCTTAGGCCAGGGCGGCCACCCCCACTTCTAGTGACTCATTCCGTGGCCCCTGCTCTGGTTCTGTGGGCCACCACCCACAGGAGGCAATCGGGGAGGGCCTAGTTATACTTGCCCGTAACCGCTGGTTGTGAGAATTTTTATAATTGCTTCTCTTTAGAGTGAGGATTCGGTGGTGGTGATCTGCGGCTTCCAGTGAGGCTGGTACTGGCCACGGCGTGCAGGACAGATGAAATGGGGGCCTCGCCTCCGCAGAGAGCACAGACACCCTCTGCTTGCCGCCTGCCCCCCCAGATCAGTTAGCTGCATCTCTGATGTGCCCCGTGGAACCTGGGGGCCCCTGGGAGAATCGTCAGACACTTCTGTGTTCAAGCATTGTGTCCTACTAGACTATGCACTTTTTGCGGCAAGAACCTGGTTTCTTCCTCTTTGTATCCCCGGGGCCCAGTACTTGAGCCCTCGGTGTATACTGAGTGCCCAGCACTTGACCCCTTGGTTTATACTGAGTGCCTAGTACTTGAGCCCAGTACTTGAGCCCTCAGTGTATACTGAGTGCCCAGTACTTGAGCCCTCGGTGTATACTGAGTGCCTAGTACTTGAGCCCTCGGTGTACTCTTAGTGCCTAGTACTTGAGCCTAGTACTTGAGCCCTCGGTGTATACTGAGTGCCCGGTACTTGAGCCCAGTACTAGAGCCCTCGGAGTATACTGAGTGCCTGGTACTTGAGCCCAGTACTGGAGCCCTCGGTGTACACTGAGCGCGTGGAAAGCCGCCGTAACGAACGATAACTGCTACGGCGCTCTGTGAATCTAGCACCCGGGGAGCAGAGGCGACGGAGCAGTTAATCCTGCCGGAGCGCAGAGGGCTTCAGGTTTGTGCGCTGCGGTCCGGGTCGGTGTGAGTGGGCTCAGAGCGGGACCCTCCCCCACGGGGTGCTAGAGGCAGGCAGGGCATTGGCCAAGGGGGAGAAGCAGATGCCGAGGGGCCGGGGACGAGGCCCGGGCGCAGCTGCAGGGGCGGGCTGGTCCGGATGTGCAGGGTCTTCCGGGCGTACGAAGGAATTTGGAATTCACCCTACAGCAGCGGCAAGCCATAAAAAAGCTTTTAAGTGGGGAATTGATATGATCGGATTTGCGTTTCAGAAAGATAACTGGCAGCGTCTGCGAGATGAAACGGCAGTGGTGTTGAGGGGGAGACAGGAAGCCCGCCGAGGAAGGCGCTGCAGCGCCACCAGCCAGGGTGACTCACCCGCTCAGCAGACACGTGCCGAGGGCCCCGCACGGGCACGGCCAGGGCGCCACCGAGAGCCAGGGGAGGGTTCCCGCGCTCGGGGCAGCGAGACAGCCATGCAGTCGGCCGTAGAGGTAGACGGTTCTATGGAGCGCTGTGAGGAGGGTACAAGGGGCAGCGTGGCCAAGGCGACTGGGACATCTGGACAGAGGATCAGGGACCGACTGACACTGGAGCAGGTCAAGGGGCCACGCAGATCACCGGGCGCGGGGTGGGTGCAGTTGCTCCCCAGGAGACTCCGAGTGCCAGGCGGGAGTGGATGAGAGGCAGGGAGGCTCCTGACCAGGGCTGGGCGTGAGCATGGGCACCCTGGCGGTTGGCTCACCATCTCCAGGGCTGCAGGCAGGGGAGGGGCTCCCTTGCTACCCCAGCACCAGAGCAGAGAGGGGCGGGGGAGCCTGTCCGAGAGCCATGGGGCGTGGGGGGGGGGGGACGGGTGCAGGTCAGCAATGGTCCTGTTGGGTTTGAAGCTCCCAGAGCCAGTTCCTGGGCACTCGGCGGGCGGGCTCCGAACAGTAGCCGCGGCCCCCAGGGAGGGCAGCCTCCAGGGGCAGCCGGCCTCCGCTCGCTGCTTTCTTACTGCTCAGAGATCCATGACAGGAAACTGGACTTAGAGCCGACACTTTGTTAATCCCCTCCCTCGACAAAGACAAAATGACATTTCATTCCCAGCCCTATTAGCAGACTCGCCTTGGGAATAAGCCCGCCTTCCCCGAGGCCTGGCTGGGCTCTTTTTCTTTGAGCCACTTTTGTTTTCTTTGGAGTGTTACATTTAGATTAGCTTCTGGGGATTAAATGTTATTACAGTAGAGGAATCGTTGTGTGTGTGTGTGTGTTTTAAGTCGGCAAAGAGGTTAGGGCTTAGTATTCTTGTCATTAGATTTCTTTTTTCTAGTATTGCTGCCTCCCCATTCACGTTCTTAAGAGAAGGCTTTTGCTTGGCTTTCTTCATGGTCACTTCCGCCTCGGGAGGAGCCGCCTCATTGGAAGCAGGGCCTTCCTGTCTCGCTCGAGGATGGGCCTGGGCAGGATGGCACCCACCTTGCTCTCCTTGCACCCAAGGAGGGAGCCCTGACACGGGGGCAGGAAATTGTCAAGTAGTGACACGGTAGCAGAAGTAAAGAATTCCCCTGAGATTTGATCGCTGTCAACCACACTGCCCCTCCTTCCTCAAGCCACAGGGCTCTGGGCTGCACAGGAGGCTGCCGGCAAGACCCACCGTGGTGGAGGCTGGCAGAGGCTGGATACCGTCTCCCGGAATGTTCCAGAAGGATTTAGTTTTCAGCAGCACCCTATAAAAGCCTACCCATTTTAACGGACCGTAAAGTTTAGTGGAGGCTGGTGTCTTGGGAGGTTAGGTTTCAAGGTCCCGACAGCCTGCAGGCCGGACGTAGGAAGGAAGCCTGTGGCAGGGGTGACGCAGGCTCTGAGCGGCCCAGACTCTCTGACCCCGCACACCCCAGCAGGAGGGCTGCCCTGAAGGGTCACCTTCAGAGAAGTGGTTGTGTGGTGTGGCTGGCCTTCACTCCTACTCACCCCACTGCTACAGACCCAGGCTGGAGTGGACCCCTTGAGGCCCAGCTTGACCTTGGCCGTTGGTTGCTGGTTTTGCTGTACAAAAAGGGCCTGTTTCTGGTACAGTCAGATCCAAGGGAGCTGAGACCCGTGCTTCCCAGCCTTCTCCGTAGCGTCCAATCTCTCTGGGAAGTTGGGGGCATCTGCCCTGGGCCGTGACACCGAGGACCCCACTCTAAAGTGTTCCAACTGTCACTCCCTCTGTCACCCCCCCACTCCCCCCCCCGCACAGATGAGATGAGGCTCCGAGTCAAGCTGCCTGGTGGCATCCGTGTACCCACAGGCCTCAGGGTCATGCAATCCAGGCCCAGACACAGGCGGCCCCTTCCTGGGGTGCTTGACCAGGGCTTCTCCCGGCCCTGGAAGATGAGCTCCGCTGTCAGCACCTGTCTGCGCTAAGCTTCCGGTTCCTGTCATGGGCCTGGCGGTGAGAGAAGTGGTGTGTCTGGGGAGCTTCCTGGCTCCGTCCCTGGGACTTTCTAGAACGTGCCGGCCCTACCGACCTTCAAAGGGGACTTTTACGTCCCTCCCCCTTCCCACTTCCCTTCTCCTTCAGCTCTGTCCTTCTAGCACTAATGCCTAATTCTGGAAACCACCCAATGAGGCGCATGCCTGGCTGTGCCCCTGTTAGCAGCAGGCCCGGGAGCCAGAGCAGGCTGACCAGCCCGGGTCCAGCGCTGCCCTCCCCGTCTTTGTCTGGAAACTGGGCTCTGCCCCCGGTACCGTCGCTGGGCTGCTCCATAGTCACTTGATTCTCCGCTGCCCTGCTAGCCGGGCCTCACCGAGCTGCTTACGAAGCTTCCGGCAACCTCTGTCCATGTGCAGTTACTGAGTGCTCTGGACTTGGGCTCAAGAACTCCTCTTTATCGCGAGTAAACTTCACTTTGGGTAGATTTAGTCTAGCCTATACGGTGATTATTTGGATAGATGGATTCTGTCATCTGACATAGTCATCATCCCGCCTAACTCTGTCTTCCATAAACTTGCTGAGTCTTCTCTTTGGCTAAGCCACTGTTGAAAACGTGAAGTTGTGCAAGGGTCAAGACACAAGGCCGTTAGAAATCCTCCTTCAGAGCTGACCTCGTCCGTGTGGGTCCAGGGATTCAGCCAGTTCCTAAGAGTTCCTGGGACCCAGCCCACCTGACTCCTCCCTCACCGCCAGACTGACCCACGTGGGCCGAGGCTGGGGCTGGCACGCCACTGTACGGCCTCGGTGTCCCAGCTGGGATCCCTCTTACAGGGCAGAGAAGAGAGCATGGAATGATAAGTTTCGGACTGTCTTGTCTGCTCCTACAGATCACCTTGCCATTTTCTAAGCGCTCGGGGACCAGCTTCTTTACTGTGCTGTTCTAGAATCTTCTCTGGGCTCGCCTCCGTTTTACAGAATGCACCGGGTTTGAAAACCACGAAACAGAAGACTCTTCCTTTCCAGCGTTGCAGTGTCCCTCATTCTCCAGGGTCCTGTAAGGTCACCACGGTAGCCTGGTGGCCCAGACCTCAGGTTCTCTTGGTCCAGGCGTGGAGAGGAGCTGGGTCCTTGCCAGGCGCCTTCCCGCCCGGAAGACTGTACTTTTTCGCTCGGGCCTGTTCTCTCTCCTGGGAGGCGGCGGGGAATGAGAAAAGGGGGCTTTGAAGCAGAGAGGCCTGAATTAAATCCTGGTGACACTTCTCACTGGTGGTTGAGCTCGGCCAGTAGTCCCCCCTTTACAGTGTAGCCCCCTCTTTACGGCGACCGTCCAGAGAGCCCACGGGGCCGTTGTGACGAC